TTTTGGTAGTTGATACATCTCTAGGAATGCATCCATTTCTTCCAGATTATCTATTTTGCTGGCATGTAGTTGCTCATATATTCTTATAATTGTTTGTATTTCTTTGGTGTTGGTTGTGATCTCTCCTCTGTCATTCATGATTTTGTTGATTTGGGTCATTTCTCTTTTCTTTTTGATAAGTCTGGCCAGGGGTTTATCAATCTTGTTTACTCTTTTAGAAATAACAAAAGATCTTAAGAGACAACTGCTCATATTGATTTGGGGCCATGAGCACATGGAAAGATACAACTGGATGCAGGGTACTTATTTCGTCTTGCACTGACACTCACCATGAGCCAAGCAGATAGGTCTGCATGTTAGTTTTTACCATTGTGTTTCTGCGATGCCAGCCTTCTGGGAATTATAGGTGCTAGTCATTTCAAGGAAGAAACTCAGGCTAGCCGGCACGGTGGGAGGTGAACAGCATGGAACTACCCACTAATAATTTACAAAAACCAGTTAGCTGCTGAGATTTCTAGCTGGAAGACTTTTAAGGAGCTTGTTTTCTTTCTTAATCTCCTGACTGTGGCCTCATCAGAAGAGGTCACCTGTGGATCCAGTTGGGGCTTCAGTGTGGGAAATGGAGGGCCACCCTCCCTGGACCAGCAACTTAAGTGACGGTCAGATTATCACCTACTGCCCGCATTCAGATTCCAAGGATGTGGAGTGTCCCAGTGCGTGTCCCCTCGCTCTTTGGGGAAAATTATCAAACCGTTATTAGGACTTTTCAGCTGCTGGAGAGAAGAAAGCAGGGTTTAGTGTTTTGAGCATAGACTCTGAATTTCAGGCCATGTATCAATCAGAGAAAAGTTACTGACAGTGATAATTGGGCCTTTAGGAGACTTCTTAAGATGAAGAGAGACTAAGCTAACTATGCTTCAGACTCTTTGAGCTCAGAAAATGAGTTCACATAAGAAGAGTTCTGGGAATGCCCTTAGGACAATGATTAATTTACTTATTTCAAAGAGCTCACGGACCATTATATACTCCTTCCCTCTGTTCATTCCCTTCCTTTTTTCATTCAATATTTGACTATCTATTATAGCTCAGGTAACAGAATAATTATTTTCTACTTAATAAGGCTTACTGCAAGATTACGCTAAATAATAGGTGCCTCCAAGGCATTTTAAATAGACTTTTATTTTGCTTTTATTTTATTTTGCTTACACATATGGTTTCAAGCACCTACTGTGAAGTGTGGTGCATCTGCATTTTCCTCTCACACCGATTCAGCAATACAGAGCATGGTCCCTCTGTGCCAATACCGGCCCCTGCATCAGGTGGGGTCACATGATATGTTCATAGTGCGTAGGGTAGGGGGACCAGTTCTGCTAATTTCAAATGAAAAAATTAATTAGAGCAGTTTGCTTTGGAAATCACTGTTCAAGCCACCCAGCTAAAGCAGCCTGCCTGGAATTTGCCTGCTATGTCTTGAAAGTCTAATATATGGTTAGTGAGATTGTCACAGGAGGACATCCGGGCCATGTGTAGGACTTATTTGCAGGTCGGAGCTAATAACACGCAATATCCTTGTCAGAGTTAAGCCTGGCCTTCATCAAATAAAGGTTTCATTATAGCTTTATTTGAAGTGGAAATTTTACTGTCAGGCTATATAAATAAATACGGCAGATGTATTCCAAGGATTGTGGTGTTTAAATCCTGTGAACATTAGTAGTCCCTGGGCTCCACTGAGTTTCTCTGAGGTACATGTGAAGTCATTAATGTTGGTCTTCCTTTTCCTGTTTCTCCATTTTTTTTTTTAGGTCTGTGATGGGGTCAAATAAGGAACCAGATCTTGTGCATCTCGAGGCCAGAACTGTAGATGGTCGTAAGTAATTCATCTTCTCCATGATGTTCATAGTAATACTAGTTTTACCAATCTGCCATGAGCCGAGTCTGTGTCTAGGGAAAACATAGCAGCAATAGTCCAAGTCCTTAGTAATCCAGAGTTGCCTTAACAATTTCCAACATCTCTCATTCAGCCAAGGTGTTTTCCTTTCCAGGTAATGAGGAAATGCCCCCGTTTCTTATTTCTGAAGTGTTTTTGTAGTTATTGTTATGATTATGTTTTTGCCACTGTTTTTTGATTTGTTTTTCCAGTTTCCTTATTTTATCAGATATGGTTTCAAAAGAACCATAGAATAATATCATAACCAGAGAAGGCATCCATTTCTTAGGAGAGTCTTTCTTGAACTCCCAGTCTAAACCGATTTCATGTTTTATTTGCTTTCATTCTGTGGATGTTATCTTTGGGGGAAGCCAAGAAAGGGTACAGGGCAACTCTCTATACTAGTTTTTGCAACTTTTATGTGAGCCTAAAATTACTTCAAAATAAAAAGCTAAAAGAGTAGAAATGGATGTTTACATCTGAGCCATCCATAGTGATTAATTACAATGAATTGGCCTCTGCGTTCTAGGGTAGGAGGGGCCGTGTGCATCTTCAGTCCATATCACTTCTCCAGCACATGCCACATTGTCAACATGTAGATGGAGCTTAGTAAATATTAGTTGAGTGAGTGAATACATAGTTGACCAATTGTCAGGGTGACCGAGTCACTTACTAAGTTGGAAAATTTTAGGGCATTGCATCTCAAATTTGAACATAACATGGCCCAATGAGGGATCTTGTTAAAATGTGGATTCTGATTCAACAGGGGCCCAAGAGTCTGCATTCCTAATAAGTTCCCAGGCAAAGCCTGTGCTGCTGATCAGCGGAACACACTTAAAGTAAAAAAGTCCCACAACGAAAAACTAATGAAAGAGCTTTAGGGTCTGTTTCCCATGACTGCACCTCTTGTTTAGGAAACTCCGGATGGAATTGGTAACATCCCAGATTGCTTTCATTTTCAAGCTTTTGGGGATAATACCACTTCTGGCTTGTGGCATCTAATGCACACAAGCCCATATCCTGAAAACAATAAGGCCTTCACTTTCCCTGATGTGCACATTTTCTTTCACCCAACATTATTCCTATGCTCCCTGCAGCCATGAAGGTTGATAATGCCAAACTGTCATCTCGGGCCCAGCTTTCACATGGCATGAAATAGATCAGTTCTAATTTTATTTATTTTATTTTACTTTTTTGCAAAGGCAGCATCTTCAGAAACTACCCAAGAGTGAAAATTCAATAAAGGGATTTAATTTGAAAAGTTATCCCTGTCAAAACAAAACAGAAAAAAAATTACCTACCAATTGAAATAAAGGATCTAGGCATAATGCCTGACCTGACTGGGTATTAAAAAAAGAGATTTTTTAAGTATCATATCCAGTCCCTCTCTCTCTCTCTCTCTCTCTCTCTTTCTTCCTTCCTCTCCCTCTTCCTCTTTCTCAAGGTACTTGGTAACCAGGACTCCAGGGCAAAGAAACAGAGAGGAAGGGGAGAGAAGGAAAGAGCCCAGAGAGATCAGAGTAGTAAGGTATTAGCATATGTAGCGGAGACTGTATTTATTAAACCCAGGTTCCAGGCTGGTCAGTTGCTCCAGGAATTCTAATGTCTGTATGTCACTTCTCTATTTTCTGATTGAGATCCTTCAGTAGTATTCAGGACAAAATTTAAGGCTGTGGAACCCATTGTTTATACATCTTGTTGAGTATATGCCCAAATAATACAATATTTTGACTTTGGATAAGTGATTGCTTTCTGATTTTAATGGATTCAGGAATTCTGTTATTTTGACACAGGAACAAGCCCTCAGTAGCTTATTTGGCTCATCCCCATAGGGTGGCTTACAAATGCTTATCTGGGTTTGTTATTCAGAGTTCAGTTTTAGTCTCATTTCACATTTCCCTAGATTACATTTTATAATTGATTTCTGCTTCACCTGAAGTCTCCAGAGCTCCATAGCTGAGGGCAGGTAAGCTCTGGAAAGAGCTTTTCTTTTTTTTCTTCCTTGCTCTGCGACAGTCTATGACTACCATAGACATTTCTGCCACTGGGCTCTGGAATCCGGATGTCTTGTAGTTTACACTGTGACAAGGATGTTATTCTTCCTTGCATTACCTCTCTGCCTTGGGAGGCAGGCGGGGGAGAGCAACCTCAATTACCATCAATCACAGGAATTATTACTGGAAAATTTTGAACATGTTTATTGGATATGGCATTTGTTATTGGCCCCTGCATTTAACTGAGGACAAATTGACAGGTCCTCATCCCAGAGACAAAGATTTTACTGTTTGACTATCGTGTGTGTGTATGAATGTGTATGCAGTCAGGCATCCTATGTACCCAGTACATTAAAACTGCTGCCCAGTGCATTAAAACCATAAAAAGGAAACCTATTCTATTGATTCACCTAATATAGGTGCATTTCTGTATATGTATGTAATGTATGTAGTTAGAAAATGTTGACTAAACTGCTGGATTGAAAGCTTTGTGTAAAGCCATATCTCATTTTATTTTGATTCTCTGTACAAACAAAGCTCAGAGACTGACCCATTTGTTGACTTAATAAATAACCTTATCTGTGTAAGCATGTCTTCTTAAAGAAGGGCTTTAACCATAGGGTCTGCAGAGTCCTTAAGGGCTCTGCATGTTACATATATGTGATTTTGGAGGAAAAGAATGTAACTGTGATCAGAATTCTTCACATGGCAATTACATAGAAATGCAGAGTTCTCTATGCACATCTGTAAATATCATCTTGCAAGAAAACCTGCAGTATCAGGTTTGACCTTTATCGCTCCTCCCTCTGACTTCTGAAATGAAAGGCCTGGTCAGTGACATGACTATTTCCGTACTGGTGGTGATCCGTGCTAACATGGACAGGGAACAGGGGACAATTACTGGGCTCATTGTCTATTTGCATGAGTAAGTAACCTTGTAACAACTTGCACAAGGACTAATCTCTTTCACTGGGGAGAAACAACCTTGGCCCTTTAATCAACTGTGAAGATGATTGTCCAAAAACTCTTGCTGAAATGAACCACAGACTAGCATTTTACAAGCTGAAATAAAAATCAGAGGAGAGTCACAACTTTATATAACCACCTTCCCACAAATTCCGGTCTTGGGTGAGAACTGGACATCCCATTCGACTTCCCATTTTCCAGTGCTCCAGTTGACTTGCGTATTGAGCGGCTTGCCTAGCAACGTCTGAATGGGGGGAGCGTGGGTCAATGCTGAGGGGCTGGGATGGAGACCTCAGTTCTCATCAGACCTCAGAAGGTGACCTATGGGGTGCTTTCAGTTCTTCCTATAGAAATAGGTTACTTTTATAACAACAAGAGTAGCAACAATGACAATAAAAAGATAAGCCATAGTCAGGTACATCAAGTGAAAAGTAAAATCCGCTTCTTGACCTTCATTCCCATTCCCCAGAGGTACTATGTTTTTTTTTAATATTTCTTCTGCATTTTTACAGAAATTGTTCGGGCTTACACAGGTGAGTATGCGTGTGAGTACACGTGCATACACATTCACAGATGTTCGTGCCGTAAAACCATTATTGCCAAATTTGCTGTTGGCGAGCACAATAGCAAGTTAAAATTTTTCCGTATCAACACATGCAAATGTAGCCACTTCGTGACTGATGACTATAAAAAAAAAACCCCACTTTGTACAGTCAACTATGCTCTTGTTAGCCCTTCTCTCATTAATAGACCTATAGAGGTTTGGCTCTTTCATACAGTGCTAATACATCACACACACACACACACACACACACACACACACACTCTACTGATTTGGTTAGTAAGCATTCAGACTTGTGCAGGCAGTAAGCCCTGCTGGGAAGAGAAATTACTGAAGGCAAATTCCGGATCTGAGAGTGTGTACATTGATATACAATGATATACATTGTATACTTGTTACATTGTCCTCTGAGATGGTTGTATCATTGCATACTGTCAGTATGATGATGCTAGGATGCTTGTGTTTGTAAGCCTTCAATAGCCCGAGACATTATCAAAGATTTTTTAAACATAACCCATCTGATGAGCAAAGAGCTATATCCTTATTGTTTTCATTTTCATTTATTTAATCGTGAATGAGGTAAAAGAATTTTTATTTATTTTTCTTGGCTATTTGTGTTTCCTCATCAGTGCACCTTTAAAAGTTAGTCAATCTCTTTAATGTTCCGGAGAAGACGAACACTTGGGCATTTCTATACAAAAAAAAAAGTCAAACTGGCCACTCCCACTCCAGTGAGGGTCCCAGCACTGGCCCACCAACTGGCATTATTCGACCCCACATTTCATAACCTTCATTTTACCTTCTTTTCAGTCAGTTTAGGAACAGTTTCTGAGGTGGGACCTGGGAAGAGGCTAGAAGATTCCAGTTCGGGGCAGCTGCAGACTCCGATGGCCCCCTCCTAGTCCCCAGCATGCTGAACAAGCACCTCTCCCCTCTTGCCTGTGCCCACAGCAGGCATCAGGGATGAAGCAGTGCAGGGGCACTTTGCACTTGGCTTTTTCTCCTGGCTGCCTCCTTCTGACCCCATTGTTCATATTGCAAAAGCCGCTTGATTTCAACCCCTAGTGATTTCGGCTTGGCCTCTCTGATTTAGTAGCCTTAAAAACAGCCCTGAAAACCAACCAGAAAAGCATGCAACATGGTAACACAGGCGCCTCCACACAGCAGTGAAAACCTAACAGGAACATGCAGGGGCGGGCCCCGCTGGGCAGCTTTCAGAGTGGGCTCTTTGTACGCTTCTGTGCTACTTCCCTTGCATGCTGTGTGCCCAGCAGGCCGGGAGGAGGTCTGTGCCCTTACTTCTCATGCTTAGGAAGAGAGAACAGAGTGTGCAGGCAAAGCCTGTTTTCCCCCGGCCCTCACTCGATGACAGAGGTCTGCATCTCTCCTGGGTTTTCAGGATCCCCCAGGACATAGCA